GTAGCAATAGAAGACAGGTTGCTGCACAATAAAGAAAGTGTTGGATTGGAACCCAAAGGATAAATGATCGAGGGGAAGACCACACATAACCTGGAAAAGAGTCACAGAAATTGAAGTACAGAAAAGTGGGAAGACATGAAAAAACATCAAGAGGGTAGCCTAGGATAGGGCGAGGTGGAAATTGTTCGTTCGTGGCCAATACCCTGATCCAGGGTAAGAAAGGCAATGATGATGGCAATTAAGCGTTTACCTGTTTAAAGATGTGAAACGAAACAGATGATTTGTGTTAACGATACACGTTGGCTAAGCTACTTATTGGAAAACAAACAAACAAACAAACAAATACACAAACACATAAACAAACAATAAACTGTTAGAAATTGGTAAGAGTTTGAAACACAATCTTCAAATACCTACAACAACACTTTATTGTGACAAACTAAAATACGCATCATATACATTGTGTCAGTCATGAAATGAAAAGAAGTCAGCAATTGTCATTATGAAAGTGGTCTAGCTCATAAAGGCACAAATGGCATTTTTAGAAATGGTCACGATAGAAGACATTCAAAATTACGTAGATCTAGTTACTTCTTAAAACTGTCTCTTTTTTTCTTAGTCGTAGGTTACTACGCTTTTTGGATAGACTTCAAGGAACTAAAACACATGTAGGCCTACAGTTATCACGTCTTTAGACGCCAAGGCTGACGATCATATTATTGCGCCACTCATTTCTCTGTTCAAATGCTGTGAAAAAGCAAACAAACAAACAAACAAGCGAAAACTTTTTTTTTCCTGGTCTTTTCCTGCCACTTGTGGGTCCAAGTAGTCTATGCTATTATTGCTTCTTTTCCTTACCATTCTTCCTGTTGTAACAAGATGTTCAAGGCCTGTTTTTGATTAAAATGCCATAGAAGCTGCATTGTATGTCTCATGAGATCCCCAATTGTTTTTACTAGTAGTTGTCCCTCGCTGGCTTCTGTCGGCACTATTTCATTTGACTTCTTTTTATACCATGAGATTCTGGGAGAGTCTTTTACCGTTTCTCTTGCCTCTGATATATTTTCCTTTCTTTAATAAAAAAAAATATAATAATAAGTTGTCCGGTATTCACAGTCACATAGAAGGCTTAACCACTCGAAGCCATTAAAAACCTGATTTTTTGTTGGCATTACTATTGAGATATTAATATTTTAAATTATTGAAACTCTTTAGCTATTGGATTTCTTTGTGGTACGTTTGTTAAGAAATATGATCAATTGCATCTCCCCATCAATGCTTTATTTTATCAGAGGACAGAAAAAATCAGTAAAAGTAAAGCAATTAAAACTGTGTCATTAGCAGCTATTGTCACTTAAGTGTTTCCTAATTTGCCTTGAGAGCTGAACTCCTTTCTTTATCTTTAAGCGCTGTATCACGGTAGACTGTAATACATTAAAAAGATAAAGAAATATACAGCCTTGCATAACTCTCCTTACAAGCTTATTATACTGGCTCCTCAATTTGCACAGTAAGATTCTAGTGCTAATGCCCATTTCTAACTATTCTTAAAACATTTCCATCTTTATCTAGCTTTTAAAAAAGAAGTTGATCACTTCATCATGTCTACCTTTATCAAAAGCCTTTGAAAAATTAATGAAGTATAATTTTACATCTTTCCTTTGCTTACAGTATTTTGCTTACCCTCAGGAACAAAACCAAATTGTTTTAAGATTATATCCCTGTTAAACTTTGCTTCATTCGTTCGATCAGTGCTTGCAGTAAACTTAAAACCGCAAAATGTGTTTTAAAATGCGAATAACTTGTTCCATGCAACCAACACTCTGTGGCACCTTGGAATTCATGCAACGCTAATAAAGACTTATTTGAAAATAACGTTCAATGTTTATATTTTGAACAGAATAAACAGAAAACTGAGTAGGCCTACGCTGTTTTATTCTACTAACTATAAGTAATTGTGCATTGGTTCTTGCGACTATAACTCAAAGAGATTCTATCATATATAACATATATAAATCTAAACTATACTCATATTTATATTCTGGCGAAGCTGGGATTTATAAAGACCATATTTACATACAATCATGTACATATATACATAACAAAAGTGACATTCATAGTTCAGCTTGGATATCTTTGAGCGTGTATTCCTGTAGCGAATTCGAAATGTTTTCGTTTCTGTGCATACAGAGCAGAGCTGTGGAGTGTGATCTCTAGTGCCCCCCCCCCCCCCCAAAAAAAAAAAAAAACACACAAAAAAAAACAACCCCTGTTACAGTGTTAAGAAACAACCAACCATGGACATGCCAAGTTAAGGACATTGATTCTTCTTATGAGCAACAAAGCACTACCTTATTAATATGAACCCCCCCCCTCGCCCCCCCAAATCCCTTTTCTTCATTATAACAGAGGGCTGAAATATTATATAATGAACTGGTACGCGGTTGAATTTACCATCTGCTTCATCTTTTACCGTGAGGGTATACCGACAGTGCATCTAAACTGAGAGACATGTACTGGTATTTGTTCTCAAATTGTGCTGCCATTTTTTTACATTTCAATGCACATAATCGATCACGTTGAGATTGCAGCAGGCCTAGATGGCACTTATCTGATGTTCCCATTATATCTTTGACTGGATCTTTAAGTTATCATTCACAACATTAGAAAGGTGACCTTTCCTAACTTTATATAATAACGCTGTCTGTCGTCTACACAAATCCCATCACATCTCAGCAACAACTCTTAAATGACACGACAACCTATTACCTTAAATGTTTAAATGTTTGCCATGGCTCGTTTGGTCCAGTTAACAGTTACAAATTTGCTTTTTGTATAGAGGAAGAGCTTAATTAATGAACATCTTAAATACCTACAAACACATATTCTTAAAAGTAAAAAAGAAACAAAACAATATAAATATGTACATCAACTAATCAAGTGCCGGGCATCCGGAGTGAAGAAAATATCCACTCTTTCATCTCCACAAGGCACTGACAGAGGGAAAAGGGTTATTTCTAACAACATTGTAAGCATGCCATTTTATAAACCTTGCAAAAGTCATCAGATAGAAAAAGCCTATCCGACTTAAACAACGATAAATGAAAGTACTTGCTTGTTGCATTATGCTTAGTGGGTACCTTGCATTGAAGTGCTAATAACAACACGGATATAATAAAACAAAAAGAAACGTTCCATGTGGTATAAATCAAATATGATAATTAGTTTTAGCCTAGAAAACAGACAAGATTGTGTTCAAGAGTTTTTGGTAGTAAAATTATGTAGCTTGTCGTCTTTCTTTTAAAAAGCGTTGACTGGCAGCAAAATGTTTTTGCATCCAACTTTTTCAAATGAATTAGACTCTAGAGGTTGTTTTGGATTCGGCAACATGGATTGAGACATTCCGTCTTTATTTAGAATACTAGTATCTAAACAGTAGGCTTAGTTTACAGTATGATAAAGAAAACTTAACGCATCAAATAAATAACACATGTGATTGATTACAATTAATTCAAAATACGGTGAGATTTTATGTGAAAGTCATGATACGTTTTGCTAAATGCACATTGGAGGACAATGGGCTTTAAGTTTGGGGAGGCCCCCCCAAAAATAACCCACAAACAACAACAAAAAAACAACAACAGCACAGTAATAAGTTAGTCGTCAATATTTTACAGTAGGCTACAGTACAACAAGATACAAAACTAAACGACGTATTTTGGGCATTTTGGAGATTCTCTGTTATCAAAGGGCAATGTTTGTGTACCCAAGACAGAGACAGAAACATGTTAAATGTAAAATCTATGTCACAATACTAAAGATTTCTTGAACGCTGCCTCTTTCATACATACACACATGCAAGCATGCACACACACGCGCACACTCACACACATACACACACACATACACACACACACACACACACACACACACACACACACACACACACACAACGTTCATACACCTACGCACCAGTGTTGTACAGGTCGGTAAACTTAGTAACTAATAACGATACTAAACGAACCAGGAACAGCAAAAATAAAGAAAAGAGGCAATAAAACGTATTCATAGGCCTACAATAAATTAAAGAAAATTGAGAAATGCCGGGCGTACGCTACGAAATGAAGAGAATGACCTTTTGAAGACCGTCTCTCAAGGCAAGACTGAGGCAAGGAAAAAAAAAAGAGACAAGTTAGAAAATTGACAAAATTTGAGTTCTTGGTATCTGTTTAAACAAAAGAGACTTCCCCCGTATCTGTTGATAGAGCACATGACACTCGACCGTTAACGATGTAGCAAAAAATATGGAGAAAAAACTGCAGTACATCCCTAGGCAATTACAGACCCAAGTCCTTAGTTTTTGCTATGTTTCTCCGTTAAGAAAAAAAATGTCTAAGACAGTTCTGTAGTGCGATCAAAAATTCGTGGCGCAACTTATTGTCAAATATTCCCTAAAGTATCAAACATAGACTCTCCAGCTTTTGCGCAATGACTTGTATCAATTTGTCTTAACAGATCAATATTTTTGTAAGCACCTGTTCGCTGCATTCTAGAAAATTCCTGAATAAATATTAATTTTAAAAATCCAAGTGGGCCGCTTCTACTGATTTAAAAAGGTTTACAGTACAGCTGGGGCAATTTCGCTGTTAAAAGTAAGTCCGTCATTTCTTTTCTTATCGTGACACTATATTATTATCTTTATTGAACGCACGTTTTGAGAACCTTTAGAGCCAAGAAATGTGTTCACAATAAAATCTTTTTATTTCTTGTAACAAGTATTGCAAAAAGAAAGTGTCATTGGTGAGCTGTGACGTAGGCCATGTGCGTATGCAAAAATGTGTGAGATGCGGGAAGTGCTGGGAACAGTCCCATTTTCCTTGTGACGGAGATTTGTCATATTTTATATAAATTTAAGAAGAAAAGTGTTTAAATCTAGCCTCAATTGCTGTGGGTAAATATGATAAAGTTAAAAACAAATTGATACAAACTGTTGTGCAAAGATATAAAAAAAGACATTAGAAGATAAGTTGCGCCACGAATTTTTGACCGCACTCTTGGTCTTCAATTAACTCTGTCAGCGTTCTGAAGTGCAACATCTCATGCTCCGCTCCGTGATATTAACAGTAGAGTGACAAAAAGTAGGGCGAGCAATTCACCATCAGATTCCTCCCATAATATACTTCTACTTCATTTTGTACAAATGTTATCAGTTGGGTCACAGTTTCTAATGTGTTTATATCTTTCAAAACTAAGTTCTAATTTCTTCCTCTGTACTGCCTCAAAAAGAGGCATTGTAAACCATTCTCCTTCAGTTTGGTTTAGAAATAGAAAAGGAGAGTAGATTTATAGCAACATTTAAATTAGCAGAAACTGACTTTAAAAAAAATTAAAATGGACTTAACGTTTGGACGCTGTCAACAACAACAAAAATATCAACATCTTTCAAAATCATACACATCAAAATCATACAACTAATTGAATTCGATCTAAATCTTCATTGTTTTCGAGGAACTAGATGAGCTTTGAGTCAAACTAGTTAGGGTCAAGATTGATTTCAATCAGCTATTGTGGACCATCAGCGTATAAAAACAAGCTGGGGGATGTTAAATATTAAATAATGCATTCCAAGCACCGGCTCCCTCCACCCAATCCACAACAACAGCATAATGTATTATTCTCTGGGTCCGAAAAAGAAGGAACAGACTGGGGCTGCATTTTATTGCAAAGACCGCCCTAAAGTTGCAGCTGTAAAATGGTTCTCTCCCAATTATTTTAAAGATTTAAGCTTGATTGATTGTATTAATGATAAACATTTGACACATCAGTCAACACAAATGTCATAATATGAATCTCTGCTAATTGTAAAGCAGCAAAACTGTCTTCATGGTGATGTTTTCAGGGGTTGTACATAATAATAATACATGTAATTAAATTCCCCCCAAAAGCGATGAGTGTCCCTCTTTATCAAAATGGGGCTGTTTGCGACGTTAACTCTCCCATTGCAGCTTCCTTCTCTTTTCTTGATTCTGTGTGGCTCCATCTGGGGGTCACAGGTCACACACACCCACATCGCTCCACTATGACACGGGGTAACAGTCTCCGGGTCACGGTGCCGTTGCTATGGGTGAGGATGAGGGCGTCCTTGAGTTGCAGCGGCACACAACACGGCTGCAACTGAATACGCATGGAGGCGTCCACATGGCCACCCAGGCGGATGCGTTGCTTGATCATTGTGTGGTTGAACGTGAACTGGTTGATAGCTGGTGGAAGGATTTGTCGGGGTGGGGATAGGGGGGAATAATTTTGGTTATTCGTGTATCTTTGAGGCGGAAATTCAAATGATGATGATGATGATAGTGACGTAGCTACTACTGCTCGTTACTCTTTCTGCTTTTGACATGAATTTGTTTTTCTCCAAACAGCGATAAGGACATTTCTATTGGAAGTCAAATATCAGAGACTGGAAATGACTTGTTTTAGTTATTGGTTTTTTTTCCTAAAGAATTTCGTTCATTCTGTAGAGAAAATGCTCCCAGAAGGGATACCATTCAGCAACTCTGACATGTAGTATACACGATTTCTCTACTCAGATTTAAATGTATATTTCTAAACAAAGCAGAGAACATTTTTCAAAGCCTTCTATAGTAAAATTAGAAATGTATTTAACATATATTTTATACACTAAAATGTTATTTTAGAGTTGAGCCTCCAAAATAAAGGTTTGTCTCCGACCAGCCCCCCCCCCCCCCCCCCCCACCCACAATGGCGGAGTGCCATGCAAATTTGACAAACAACCAAGAATGCCTCGTTGGGATTTGAACCGTGCTCATCCACTCTGTAGTCCAGCGAGAAACCAACAATCTTTAATCTAACAGCGCTTTCAGAGCTGCTCTACTGGGACCCAATATCTTCTTTTCATAGAGTATGAAAACATTACTAACCATTGCACGACCCGAAGCAGTAGCCAACTGTGAGATTCCGAGGATACATGATGTTGTGCAGGTTGATCTCACGGAAGCGGGCCACTAGGGGGCGTTTGCAGCAGTTAGTCTTGGGGTTACAGTACTCATCATCTGTGGACCTCTTGCCGCGATATCTCTCGTCGTTGTCGGCGTATGTGATCATTAATAGTGGGGTGTAACCATGCTGCAAGATTGGAATAGAAGAAGAGAAAGGATTAGATTTTCTTTTTCATATTCTCTTCTTGTTTCTATGTTGCAGTAAATTCTGGTTTATATGCATCTGGGGGTAGTCTAACAACCTATTATTTTTTAAAATCAAATCTCTTCATTATCTTTCAAATCTTGATAAAGACTATAAATGTATAAAATATTATGCATTACTCGTCGTCTTATAGTAATGTCTGAAAACTTTTGGGGCACGGTTGTGTGTGCGTGTGTGTGTATGTGCCTCTGTGTGTGTGTGTATGAGTGTGAGTGTGTGCGTGTGTGTTTGTGTGTCTGTGTGTATGTGAGTGTGTGTGAGAGAGATAGATAGATAGAAGAAGAAGAAGAAGAAGAAGAAGAAGAAGAAGAAGAAGAAGAAGAAGAAGAAAAAAAAGAAGAAGAGGAAGAGGGTTCTCCTCATATCTACCTTAGCCCCATAGAGAGCCTTGGGGTTCCGTGTGATGCATGTCTTGCAGCGAATGGCCACCTTGACTTGGGGTCGACGTCTCTCCACCCACCGTCTGACCACACGGGTCAAATCTACAGTCACCCAGTCCTCCTTGAGGAACGTGTCCTCTCTCACAATGATGTTACGGCGCTTCAAGACGTTTCTGGGTAAACAGGGGATATATAAAGAACCTAATTAAGGCGCAGGGGGTGGGATAAAAAAAAGGGGGGGGGGGCGTTGGCATAAATGGTACATTTAAGTCTTTAAAATGAGGACTGTCGAAGTTGAGACCAGTGGAGATTTGGTTAACATAATATAAGCTCAAGATCATCGTGGATTCGTGTGGTGATCATCTTTTTCACTGCTGTCACCATCGCGATCATTGCGATCCTCATCCTCATTGTAAAGTTGTTGTTTTGGAGTGGAGACAGATTCTGTTTAGAGAACCTTTTGGTTAGTTAAATAAAATGAGGTTCTACTATTCTTCTGTAGAGCTTTTTCATGATGCATCATCATCATCCTCATCATCATCATCATCATCATCATCAGCAGCAGCAGCAGCAGCAGCAGCAGCAGCAGCAGCAGCAGCAGCTGCTGCATCATACTGCTGACATCCGAATATTTGTTCACAATGTTGGAAGCTACATCACTGAATATCTACCTACTTTCCAATGGAACAGTCATTAACCATGATATGACAACGGCAAGGACCTCCACTCCAGAAGTAGGAAAAGACCTAACAGTGGCAGCTGAAATAGCTCGAAAAAGAGCCGCACTGCTAACCCCAGATCTAGCCTACAATAATTATGCAAAACAACCCTTGTTCAAGGTCTCAATGCAACTTCAAAAACCCCAAAGCTAGAAAGGCTGTCTTGAAGCTGCAACATCAATTTTGTTTCGTCTCATTACAAGTTTTAAACATGTGAGAATTGTTCAATTTTTGTCGGCGCTTGGAGGGCGCCACTGGTGCGTACGTCCTACTTCTTAAACATCCAATGTGTGTTTTTGTTTTTATGTCTTACTTTTTCCCCACTATGAAGAACCCGTTATTGTGTCTACTAAGTGATTCTGTGATAGATTTTTTTTAAAAGGCCTGCTTAAAATCAATCTTTGTAACTCTCTCTCTCTCTCTCTCTTTGAACCGTGCTCATCCACTCTGTAGTCCAGCGAGAAACCAACAATCTTTAATCTAACAGCGCTTTCAGAGCTGCTCTACTGGGACCCAATATCTTCTTTTCATAGAGTATGAAAACATTACTAACCATTGCACGACCCGAAGCAGTAGCCAACTGTGAGATTCCGAGGATACATGATGTTGTGCAGGTTGATCTCACGGAAGCGGGCCACTAGGGGGCGTTTGCAGCAGTTAGTCTTGGGGTTACAGTACTCATCATCTGTGGACCTCTTGCCGCGATATCTCTCGTCGTTGTCGGCGTATGTGATCATTAATAGTGGGGTGTAACCATGCTGCAAGATTGGAATAGAAGAAGAGAAAGGATTAGATTTTTTTTTTCATATTCTCTTCTTGTTTCTATGTTGCAGTAAATTCTGGTTTATATGCATCTGGGGGTAGTCTAACAACCTATTATTTTAAAAAATCAAATCTCTTCATTATCTTTCAAATCTTGATAAAGACTATAAATGTATAAAATATTATGCATTACTCGTCGTCTTATAGTAATGTCTGAAAAC